TCCATGTCCGTATTTATTCTAATAACGGAAATAGTAAAAATAGTCTCTAGGAAGAACGCTTATGACACACAGGCAGACATAATTGTAAATACTACTACCACTACCATCTCGAAACGGCGAAGTCGGCTCTGCTCTTTCTGACCGAGATGGAGGTGTCCTCTCCGGCTGATAATCCGTATCTCTCCTACCCGGGGAACAAACTGGATCACTCCTTTGTGCCTCGAGCTGGAGTTTGCGTATACGTCAGAGAGGAAATCTGTTCTCGACTACTCGGCAGTCTTGAAGGTTCGGACCTGTCCATCCTTTGGCTACGCGTAGACAGCGACGACCATCCACGCGTCTACGGGTGCCTCTATAGGTCCCATAGTGGTAATGCTGAAACAGACCGACTCTTCGACTACGTCCAAATGGCTACAGATTCGTTGCTACAGAAGATCCCCTCCGAAGAGATCGTGATCCTCGGCGGTTTTAACGCCCACCACGCCGAATGGCTTGGTTTACGTTTAACCGATCATGCAGGTAGATATGTTCATGATTTTGCCTTGGAATATGGTCTGACACAACTGGTTACTTCACCTACGTGGATTCCAGATGTGGAGGATCATGCACTTTCCCTGTTGGACCTTCTGCTGACCTCTCATCCGGACAGATATGAGGTCTCCGTTGATGCACCTCTTGACTCCTGGGATTTTTGTCTTGTCCGGAGTGTGGTGCCACTCACGCTGAAATCGCGGTTACATTCTGCAGACTGCCACCGTGTTTGGCGCTATAGGTCAGCCGATCGGGATAGGATGCGGTCTTTCTTTGCATCCTATCCTTGGAGGTGGGTTTGCTTCTCACCGGATGATCCCAACGTTGTTGCTGACTCTATTGCTGATATGGTACTTCAGGGTATGGAACTTTTTATCCCTTCCTCTTTGGTGCCCATCGGAGGCAGATCTCAGCCATGGTTTAGTCGCTCCTGTAAAATAGCATCATGCTTTAAGCATGAGTGGTACCAAGCCTAGGCTGACGCATTAACGGGATGTAAACACCAGCGCCAGATGTATAATTCCGCCTCCAGGTCCTTCAAAAGATTCATTGCCAAGGCAAAGTCAGAGCATATAGGCAGAATTGGCGGGAAACTAGTTCGCCTTCCTTCCGGAACCCTTGTAATGGGTCCGCCATCTAACTTTTTTTTTCAACTAGTGCTTATTTCGTGAATGGCAACACTTAGCTCATGTCTAATTTGACAGATAATTAGTTTTATCCTTCCGCTGAACGAATATGGTTGTGTATACGCTTGAACAACGCTGGGAAATATTGCGACATTACTTTGAAAATCATGGTAATGTTGCAGAATGTGTGCGAAAATTGCGTACGGATTTTGGAAGAAATGAAGAACCGTCAGCTCCGTATGTTCGTTACCTTATGAAAAAGTTAAAGAAACTGGCATTCTCATCGATAAACCAACGCGTAAAAAGCCAAGAACAGTGCGTACACTCGAGAATATTGCTGCTGTGGCCGAAAGTGTGCGTGAAACGCCATCAACATCAGTTCACCGTCGTTCTCAACAATTGGACATTTCGGAGACATCATTGAGACGAATTTTGCGTAAAGATCTTGGTATGACGTCTTACAAAATTCAATTGGTTCAGGAGTTGAAGCCAACTGACCATCCAATGCGTTTTCGCTTCGCTAAGTGGGCCTGCGATCGACTTGCAGAAGATGCGGATTTTGCCAAAAAAATCATCTTTTCAGATGAAGCTCATTTCGAACTTGGCGGGTATGTAAACAAGCAGAATTGTCACATTTGGGGCACAGAAAACCCGTACGCATTCATCGAAAAGCCGGTGTACCCAAAACGAGTCACTGTTTGGTGCGGATTTTGGTCCAGAGGCATAATTGGGCCATTTTTCTTCGAAAATGAGCAAGGTGTGGCCGTCACAGTCAATGGCGATCGTTATCGGGCCATGGTGAACGAATTTTTGTTCACAGAAATTGAAGAGGAGGATATTGGCAACATTTGGTTTCAACAGGACGGCGCAACGTGCCACACAGCCGACGCTACACTTGATGTTTTGCGCCCTGTTTTTGAAAATCGCATTATCAGCCGCAGAGCTGATGTCGTTTGGCCACCTCGGAGCTGCGTTTTGACACCGTTGGACTATTATTTGTGGGGTTCCGTCATAGATAAGTGTTACGCCGACAAGCCAGAGACAATTGACGCTTTAAAGGACAATATTCGTGAAGCCATTGGTGAAATACAGATGCACACAATCGATAATGTACTCAAAAATTGGACCGATCGTGTAGGCTACTGCATGGCCAGCCGAGGAGCCATTTGAATGAAATTATTTTCCATCATTAACCGGAAGGATTGTACTTTCAATTAAAAAAAGAAATTTGAAAAAATATTTAGTAGTTTTTTTAATAGCATATTTTTAAAAAATAGTTATTTGGCGGACCCGCTATTATGGTCTCTCGCCAAGGCTGTCCAGGGTTTGTCTCAGTCATCTCTTCCATCTCTGCACAGGGAGGACGACTGACTGACCCATGCCGCAAAGAAGAAAGCCGATTTGCTAGGCTCCTTCTTTGTGTCCAACTCGACTCTCGATGACGGGGGGAGCACACCGCCAAACATCCAGCGGTATGAGTGCTCTATGCCGCATGTGCGGTTCACACAGAGCTCAGTTCGTAAAGCACTCCGCTCCCTGGACATCCACAAGTCGAGTGGGCCAGACGAAATACCCCCAATTGTGCTGAGGACGTGTACTCCTATTCCCTAGGCGTAGTCCCGAAATCATGGAAGACGGCTTTTGTCCACCCGATCCCTAAAAAAAGCTACTGATCAGACCCATTCAACTACAGGCTTATCGCCATCCCCTCCTTTTTCTCCAAAATAATGAGGTACCTTGAGGATCACCGGGATCAGCGACCGCCAATACGGTTTCCGTCGTGGGCGATCAGCTGGTGATCTTTTGGTCTACCTTACTCATAGATGGGCGGAGGCAGTAGAGTCCAAGGGCCTTCTATCAGGTTTGGCACAAAGCGCTTCTTTCGAAGTTCTTCTATGGGCTTCGAGAAATTGTGCATTTGGATCACCAGCTTACTTGCAGATCGGAGCTTCAAGGTTGTTGTAGACGGTGCATGCTCCGATTACAAGCTTATTACTACTGGCGTTGCACAAGGCTGCGTGCTATCCAACGCTGTTTCTTCTGCATGTCAATGATATGTTGCAAACCCGTAACATTCATTGCTATGCGGATGACAGCAATCGTGATGCTCTGTACACCAGCCGTGTTAATATTTCACGGGAAAACATTTCCGAGTACCGGCACAAACTTGTGTCTGAAGTCGAGTCTTTGCTGAACAAAGTCTTGGATAGGGGACCACTAAATTTAGTCCAGTTTAACCCTCAGAAGACAAAAGTTTGCGCATTAACCGCTTAAAAGAACTCCTTTGTTGTATCTCCTCAGTTTCAAGGTACTTTCTTTGTTGCCTCTGCCGGTATCGGAACCCTCGCCGTTGAAATATCGAGTGACGTGTAATTTCGTGGTCACTTGGAATAGAAGGAATTGGCCTCTAAAAAGCTTGGCATGCTCAGCAGAGCAGGACAGTATTTCATGCCGGCACATCGCCTGCAACTTTACAAGGCGCAGGTTTTACCTCACATGGCAATATTGTTTCCATCTCTGGGCTGGCTCCCCAGTAGCAGCTTCTTAAACTTGACCGCATCCATCTTAGAGCGGCTCGAATCGTCGACGACCTAGTGCTTTCCGATCGGCTCGATTCACTGGCGCTGCGAAGACACGTTACATCTCATTGCGTATTTTATCGCATCTGCCACGGAGAGTGCTCTGAGAATTTTTTTGGATTAATCCCAGCCGCTAAATTCGATGAACGCACAACGTGGCAAACCTTCCGATACCGACCACACTCTCTGCATGCTTAGCGGTCTACCACTGTTCCGCGTACGACCTCTCTGTGGAATAGTTTACCACCGGCGATTTTTCCGGACCGATACGACCTACCACCGACCAAGAAAAGAGCTTACTCCTTTCTAAAAGGCCGGCAACGCACTTGCAATTCCCTTGGTGTTGCAGTTGTTCATGGGCGACGTTAGTCACTTATCATCAGGTGAACCGTATGCTCGTTTACCCCATCTCCTATAAAAAAGAGGTAACAGAAGAAACAAACTGATCCCACGTACGCAACCTATGCGATGCAATGCTGGTACGTTGTTGTACACACTTGGCCTACGTATGCAACGTTACCTTTGGCTTCAGAAACTCTTGTCACTTTTTAGCGGAACCACGAGTACAAATTTGCAGCATGTTTTCTGTTTCTCTGAGTGAGTTTGAGAATGATTTACTTAGTCTGATATTCATAAACTAATATATCCTCCCCACAAACAAAATTAAACAACACATACTAATGTAGAATACGATGTGTTATTTTCGTAATATTTATAAAATCATGTTTCTTATCTTAATATAACTAGAATATAAAACTAATTTTATAAATTTCTGCCCCCTTACACACTCACACTCACTAGGTATAAAATTCATCTTTTCTCATACTGAAAACCGTAATGTTGCATCGCGATATTATACACATTTAATATTATAAATTCATTCGTATCGCCTTACTAAATCGATGAGCTGTTCATCTTAAATTTCGACAACAAAACGCGGGCACGGTACAAAGGTCTATTTGTTTATGACGTGCTACGCACGCGTAATTTCTAGCAAAGCACCAGTGTGTTCCTAGAATTTACGAGATACTATGCGTGGGAATGGGATTGCGTACGAATATCCCCTCCACCTTTCCACGCTTATCTAGACATCGCAGATTGACGTTGCGTGGAACGCGTGTGGTTGCGTTGCGTACGAGTATATAGTATAGTTTTTCATACAAAATCAAGAATCCAAATGTCATAATGCGTCGCATACGTTGCGAACGTGGGATTAGTCTGTCTCTACCTTAATCCAACAATTAACCCTTTTAAAAACTTTGACATGCATGTAACATCTAAAGGTAGGTCTACGCTAGAGGAACCGAGCACGAGCAGAGCACGAGCCGAGCACAAATTTGTGTAGTGTGAACCTCGACCTACAATCCTCGAACCAGCGCGCTTAGAGCGTTTGGCTCGTGCTCTACTGTGCTCCACCTGTTGTCAGTTTTTTGACAAACACAAAGGGAGCGCTATGCAAGCGCTCGCATCGCGCTCGTGGACGTGTTGAATGACAGACGTTGCTAGAGGAGCCGAGCACGAGCAGAGCACGAGCCGAGGACAAACTTGTGTAGTGTGGATCGACTTACAAGCCTCGAACGAGCGCGCTTAGAGCATTTGGCTCCTTACCTTTAGATGTTACATGTCAAAGTTTGTTAAAAGGATTAATTGTTGGATTAAGGTTAGATCCACCTTAACAAGGTTAGTAGTGAGTGCGTGTGTGAGTGTGTATGGGGGGTTAAATAGGGGGGGAGGTTTTTAAATAGGGGGGTGGGGGTGTTTTAAATATAACACCTACTTTTGCATACTTAATGTAAGCTATATATATTAGATATGTCGTTTCCTTAATCTTTTATTTTTGTGGATATTAAAGTGCCGTATCTACTATCCGTATCCACACGTGTGATTTTTAGGTTGGAATATGTTCATCAGTGAACTCGAGACGGGCTGTAGTAATATAAATGATGATTAATCATTGAGATTATTATCATTACAGCCCATCTCGTGTTCATTGATGAACATCTTCCTACCTAAAAGTCCCACGCGACTTCGAGCCAACACTGATTCCCTATTCGATCCTACTGAAACTTTTTCATAGCAGAACATCCTATATACTTTTGTTTGTGTTTCCTTCGCATCCCTTAATTGATGATTATATGAACATTTTGACCGAGGAAATGGGCGGCAGTATATTATCAGAATATCAAATAAAAAGGTGCTCTTGCCAAACCGTCTGCCAAGCGACAGCTTTGGAAACAATAAAAAAATATAATAAATTATTTAAATTAAGTGTTTCTCGACAAAATATAGCAGTGTAATGTCTAGATTGAATAATTAAAAATGAGTACTAATCCTCGTATATTTTTATAGGACTGCTCCGCCTACAACAGTTATACCAAAGCTTGCAACCCGGGAAAGCGACATTCCGCATTTCAAATGTAAAGCGCGTCGCCAATGCCACAGATGTGGTTAAATTTCTTGGCGCACTAGAGAGGCTCGACCGTTGGAGCAACAAATACGTTGTGCTCGACTCTTCTACACAACTAGCAAAAGATGCACTAATTTTGCACGTACGTGACGTTCAACTTGGCCGAAGGAATTACCATTACTTCTTAAGTGGTCTGGTGAGTATCCAATTTTTATTTAGGGAATCGAATTGGAAATACTTACGTTACATATAATCTTGTTTAAGGAAACTAAATTTTGTAGGTTTTCTTTAAATTAAATTTTAGTAGTGTCCCGCTTCTCGACTATGTTTTAATTAACCGATCATATAAATTAAAATATTCTTAACATTTAATATGCGTAAAAGAAATAACATAATGACAGAAAATTACACAACATAATGTGCAAAACGATATATCGTATTTTATTATTCTTCTTTTCCCTTTTCGGCGCTAATAAAGACTAGTTTACACATTGAAGTAGGTAAGCAGCCTTGAAAAATTCACCCCTACCCACCAAGCCGGGAGCCGGGTTCGTGAGAGCTGATAATGCTGTTCCCCATCACCAGTAGCTGATATTTGAGTTTGATGTACGATTTCTTTCTTATTCAATGCTTGACTAAAATACCACCTGGTAGTCTATGTAGCTCAATGTGGTAATTTGCACTGTCTTTCCGTAATGAAAGCACCAGAATTGTGCACAACCAGGGAGGTGTGCACAATTAACTTCTGGTGAGTTGAGGAAAATCCTCTTTTTAATAAGAGAGATTTCGTACTTACTTCTCTTCCAAATTCCATTAAAATAAACGACTTCTATTAAAATATACGACAATTCTTGCCTCAAGCAAACGGTCGGAATTTGTATTTTTAAATTCATATAAAACAGTTTTTGTAATAGCTTATGTTATTTCCGTTGTTTTTTTTTACGGTTTGATATTCTACCTTATATATACTAACATTATATATACGTTTACACAGGTGATGGATGATCGCTGGGAGAAAGAGGTCACTGAATTTGGAGCTATTAACATAACTGGATTTCGTATGTTAGATTTTTCGAGAAAAATAGTTCGGGACTTTATTGAAGTATGGCGCAAGGATTTTATTTCGGTAAGTTATGTCTTAAATTTTAAGTAATTTTTGTAACCATAATGCTGATAAATGCCATAATACTGTTATGAAAAAAATCATGAAATAGACTTAGTTTCAAGATTAATATTACTGACTCTTTAGACATAAAATGTCTAGTTTAATATTAGTCTACTGACTTTAACACGAAGAAAGACTAAAAAAAGTAGTGTGGACTGGCAGGTAATCATTACATACTTACGTGATAGCAATACTAATTGACTGTAAGGGTATAATTTCTGGTAGGCGCACGTACTACAATAATTATGATTTTCTAATTATACATTCCGTTGGCAAACTTGTAAAATTTTCTTCTTTTTAAACCAAGCATTTTGTAAAATTTTATCTTTTGCTGCTGCTATCTTACTTAAATTTAGTTCATTGCTTAATTTGAATTATAAATGCCTTATAAAGTTATAAATATTAAAAGTAAAATATCTTGGTTGGATAGTACTTTGGCAATACAAGTTCAATATACTGGCTGCAAAGCTGATATTGAGTGCATAATGATTTCTTAATTTTTCAGCATCTGTTTTCTGTGATGTTAGTGGTGTTAGCCAGTTTAGCACTTTTACAGCTCCATTGATTTTCAATGTAATAATAATGCCTCAGAATTTCGACAGAAAAGTGCCGCTTTGTTCTAAAGTCTAGGTCACGAATACTCATGTTACATGGACTTCGCTTGCGCAGCCAGTCAGTCAGCCAGTTCAGTCGGCCCATAGACTATAGTAATACAATGACATAAATAATCTATATTAGGCGTTTTTTTTTGTTTTGTCTTGATTTTTTATTGTATTAGAGTAACAAAGATATTTTATAATTCAATTAAAAGTCAGTGTCAATATTGACCAACCGAAAAGAACGGGTAATAAATCTAGCAAATAATAATCTTTTGCCATAAAATAAAAAGCGACCGTGTCGACCAGTTCTTTTTGACATGCTTTGTTACGACAAAACATCGTGTTATACAACTAAAATATTTTATGGCCATGTGCATTTTCTACATGATGTGTAAGACCCCAGCACTGATTAAAACTCAAAAGCATATGTCAGCCTAGTTCAAAAATGAAAAGGGTGACGTACCGGCGGTGTGTATATTTACACGAACCATTTGCAGTCACTTTCAAACCCTCCATAACTCATACACTATTAGACCTACACTTAATATTTTGTATTCATAATAGGAATATTTTAATGAATAAACCTGTCGTAGTTCCTGAGTGATTAAGATCTGATAAGTGTCATTTTTATCACTCTCTGACTCACTCATCAAATACCAAACCACTTCCAGATTGTTCAGAAATTTTAAGTTATGCTTCAAGTTAGATCCCCAGACGCTTAACCTTCGTCTGGTGACATGCATATGAGTCACAGTATTGTAGAGTTGACGTCAAAATGACTTATTAATATAAATCCATAAATAATGTATATTATTGATAGTGGTAATAAAATAGGTCGTGTTTCATAAAATAAGGTTTGTTTGGTTTTAAAATACAACACCTTTTTGACAAATTAAATGAAAAATTAACTTTAATCATACACATGGACTTATAATGAAATTTTGGTCTGTGTTTTGTAGGCATGAGATCAATAATCATGAAATAAAAAAAACACAAAAGAAAAACAAAATTTAACATTTTTCTCTAATTAAGAGCTAAGTAATTATTTAAAAAATATATTTTAGTGATAGACTCCATATAAAAAAAAATTATGCTTGGTAACAATTGACACAAATTTTCTCAAGACAATCTAGGCATGCTGGGTTTCTGTACTTCTTCCATAGGTATGACGTGCTTTTTTTTTGCTGATCATATTGTACATGTCCTAAGCTTTTCCAGCTTTGCAGATGTAGAAGGTTCTGGTTTTACATCTTCTATCTTCAAGATTCGCTTGATAGAAGCGCGTATGTCTATAGAAATTTTTTGATTGTTAAACCGGTGCAACATGTGGGGCTTGCAAATTTGGTCGGCTACTGTACACAAAAAAGTGTATCTCTCAACATTTTTAGCATTTTGAGGGTATGGGCACTTGTACACTACGTATGAATTTATTACATAAATATCGATCAACCGGTAAAAAAGAACAAGTGGCCATCGCTTCGTTCTTCAAATACAAGAATAGTTAATGCACATTTTGCCAGACCATTAACACCATTATTCGTGTTATTATAAAAATATTATTTCTGGTTTTTCACTTTCTTGATCAATACACTTGTCATGGTGCATGGACGATGCAAGAACAACAGCTCTGTTACGTTTGCGTACATAAGAAACCATAGTTATTTCCTTTGTAAAACTCTCTTATTTCTCTCTTTTATTCTTGTTCATAGTACCCACACAAGTAATACCATTTTCCTTCAAAAGCTTCATTGCTTCGATTGATATAAATCAATTGTCTCCCGTTACATTTCGGTTGGATTTTTGTATAGGTGTCTTCAGCCGTAAAATGCTCTGTATAGGTTTCGAGTACTCCTTTTATTCATGCCTCAATCCCTGTCCATCCGTATCTTTTAAAAGTATATACAAGCACTGTAATTGGTAAAAGCGTCATTCATACACATGAGCTTCACACTATATTTGCCCGGTTTCTTCGGCATAAACATGAGGAATTTGTAACGACAGCGGCATCTGACAAGCATTTTGTCAATACACCTGTTAGAACCAGGAGTATAGAATTTTTGGCAGTTCGAGATGAAAATAATATACAACTCGGACATATGAACAGCCAAATCATTTTTAATTTTTTCTTTTCTGGTATTGTGATCAACGAAACGTAACGTTATGCAAGTAACTGAAGAAAATGTTTTTGCGAAAAAATACATCAAAATATTTTCTTTTCTTTTCCATCTGTGGCAAACAAAGACGCAGTATCTTATTTATTGCTTTTGAAAATAGCAGTCAAAGCAGGCATCCTATTAGTGCGCGTAATTCAATAACATTGATGTCTTTCAATTCGGGCCGATCTTCCTTCTTGTATTTATGCTTCATATCTTGTAATTTGCTATTAGTTTGTTGAAACAACTATCTGTAAAATATCTTCAAAGAACAAAATATTCCAGAAGTGTTCTTTTTCAGTACAATGATGCGTCATATTTGACTCTTGAACTGTGACAATATTATGGCTTAGAGATGTAACTTCCGTGAGGATCTTTATATCACTAGAATTGGTTGGCTATTACCCACTTTTTTCCAAAATATAATGGTTTGTTACTTGCTATGTTGATCAAGAGTCGCTTTCAATCTATAGATCTCGTTCTTCACCCTCAGACTCGGCAATCTCACTTGAAGTGTCATTGGTGGATTCTAAGACATGATTTTAATCCAACTATTGATTACTGATGTAACTGTCAGCTTAATCCAAAATTTCCTTAACTCGCCGCTAAAAATCGTGATCATTTGGATTCATTTTGAATGAAATTGTATGACTGAGGCTCACAACTAAAACATAACACTAAAGGTGACGTCAAAATTACGTCGTGTAGCCTCTATAACCTATGTGCGGCGACGCAGCTACTAGAGGGCGCGGTCGCGTTCGGTTACGCCATTTCTAAGAAATTCAATGTTTTTTTGCGTTGCGACGTCAAATTGACGGTACGTCACCAGTTGAAGTTTAAGCATCTGTAAGCTGTTGGTATTTGGTGTCGAAAAAAATTTGACAGTTATCCGTCGGTTCATTCCAATTATTGTACTTTGTTGCACCGTAATGAAGTAATAATTCCTTTTTTGGTTTATATCGACACATCTATATGCGATAGCGATATTGCGAGTTCCCAATATTGCTATCACATATGCGCATGATATTGCAGTTCGCAACATTTGTGCAACATACATTGTAGACACTTCTTATGTATCGTCATTTAATGTACATATTTGTCATATTGTTGCGCACCATAATTAATGCCTGATATATGGCGGATGATTATTAGCGCCATCTAGTATCAAGTAGCAGAAATAGGAGCGTCAAAATTTTTCTTGAAAATTCTCTCGCTCGCTTGTAACAATATTTTTTAAACTTGCCGATATGGATTTCCTTTTCGTATAAATACCACGGAACCTTCTTTCCAAGAACTACATATCTAAATATCTAGCGGATATTGACATAACATGACATCGTGTTACTACTAATAAATTAGGAAAGGGAAAATATTTGTTTATGTTATACTCCCTTGATAAAAATCTCAAAGTATGATGTTTTAAGATGTTAATTTTTTTATATCTAAATGTTGCACAGGCAAAAGCGGCTTTGATGTACGATGCTGTACAAGTTCTTGTAGATGCAATTCTGCGTTTAGTGCGTAAGAAACCAGACATATTGCGGGGCCTTACACGACGCAATGCTAATCTTAATTCTAACAATACTTTGGATTGCAATCTTCAAGAAAAATATTCAGCTTATGAGATTGGCGACAGGATTTTCAGGATGATAAAAAAGGTAAGGGAAACATACTTACTTTATGCTTGCGTATATCGTAATTCGTCCAAATTTTTTTTTCAGATAAATGCAATGAACTAGTTGAAAGTTCAAGTAACGTTCATTATTAATTGTAAGTAGTTTTTCAGAGCGAGTTTCAAATTATAATACAGAATGACTGCAAATTTTGTTGAAAATATTTAATGCCCATGCGAGTGATTGATGCCAATTATTCATAAATTCCCTTATAGATTCCAGCAATAGCACTTTATTTGCTATGTACTCGATGCATGACAACACTGAATGCGGCAAAATGACAGTATGGATATCCACTAGTGTAAAACAGATTAAGTTATACGATTTTCGGAAACTTATTTAGTGCTTTGCGGTATTGAAGTGTTCTTTTCTATTTTGTGTTTTTTTATAGGATAGGGTAACAAACGAGCACACAGTCCACCTGATGGTAAGTGATTGCTGCAGCCCATAGACATCTACATCGATATTCGATTACAAATCAAAATGCAGATGCGGTGTCACCCGCGAGGACTTAGATGGAATACTTCGTTTCGAGTAAAGAGGAGTCTCCGGTTCTCTACACTACACTACACTACACTACATCATACGAAACATTAAGCTTCCATGTTGGTATTCTGTGAGATTCAGTATTTTTCTGTAATTATACAATTTCCTGTAATAATAAAATATAAACAGACTCGTTTAATACTAAATATCTGTTAAATCAAGAAAACCCTTTGTGCTTTCATACCGCTTGAACCGCCAAGTACGTAAACAATTAAAATAGTGAAAAAGAAATAGTCTCCTCACACAAAATCAAATACTACAAACACATACTGTTAAAATTTTTCACCGATTGGAAGAATAACAAAGTAGTCTTCACCTTTAGTGCGTGCTATTATGACAAAAGCTTCTTTTCAATTCAAAGTTTCTATTCCCGTGTTCATCAATTCAATCACAATACTTTGAACTGGGTAAAGCCAAAAAGCAAAACAGAAATATGTCTCGCGTATACGAGAAACATCACCTCTCTCTCTTTGTGAAAGCGTAAACTGTGAAGCGTGACTCGAGTTTCAGCGTTTTACTGACGTCGTGACTTGTAAAGGTGAAGAGATAATTTTATTTAAAAATAAAACTTGAAACAATACTAACATCAATAGATAACAATATCCGTATAACATCCATTTCATTGGTCTTTACAACACTTCATGATCTCATTCCAGTATATTCTGATCTTATGATCTCGTTTTATTTAAAGTATCTTCAATAAAATTTAATGAAAAAGAAATATTAATTTGTATAAAGATTCCGAATAAAAATGAAGAAAGAAAACTCTTTTGAAAGCTGATTATAATTTCTAATGCTTCTATAATAACTTGTAAAAACTGTCTGGACAGAGATTTCACTTTTAGAATTTCTATGAAATTTAAAATCTTAAATAATTTTATAGATGGTTGTATTGTTTTTTATCATATTAATATTTGGTTAAAATATAGACCATTGTGAATTCTTAAGGCAAGTCTATGTGGTGACTCAATCTAATATTTATAAAACATCTAAACTAAAAATAAAAATTATAAAAATATTTCCCTCTTATATATAAAATCAATTGCTGTCCGTCAGTGTCGCAAAAACTCGAAAATGGGTAGATCGAATTAGATGAATTTTTGTGAGCATTTAAGTAGGTCCCTGGACGGTTTAGAAACTCGATTGCACCCGGAAGGTAGCGCTGTTGCCGAAATCCAGAAATCACCCGTGCGAAGCCGGGGCGGATCGCTAGTCTGTTACAAAGTTTGAGAAAGAAAAATACAGATTCTACAACTAATATCTCGGCGCACTGTTGAAATAATTTTGCGGATTTAAATTAAGCGGAATTGCAGAGGAACACAGGTGTTGAATATGAGACCAACCTTTATATTGAGTGCGTTCGGTGAGCGAGCCTCAAGCGATTAATGAGGTTTGGCTACCTGACGCCTTATTAGAACCAGGCATATACCTCCTAACTCCCAGTTTCGCGGAAAGTCGAAACCATATTTTGTAATATAACTACTGAATTTGTTAAAAGTTGATTTCAGTAAACGTCTACTCATTTACACTACTTATTACTGTGGAAATTTAAACCGTATATATGCACAGTAAAAATCGTGCCTCATAATATACATATTTCTTATTTATTTCATTTTACGTAACATATTTTACAATATTTTCGAATAGAACATGGTTTTATACAAAAATAGTGCTAATAAGTACGTAATATTAAAAGATAAAGGCGCTGCGCGATTGAGAAACAAATTTAATTGAAATAGAAAGAGTCGATATTATTTTCTTTGCTTCAGACGGAGTTAGAGGGATTGACTGGTTTTCTCAAGTTTGAAGCTGGCCATCGTCGCAATTTTACGCTTCAACTAATGGAAATGACCATTAGTGGTGATATGGTAAAGGTATGAAAGAATTAAGAATATTGATTTTACCAAAACACAAACACCTATATACCTACATAAATTATTAAAAGCGACAGTAGCCTAATGGCAGGGCGCGGACCGCGAACTCAAAAAGGTCGTGGTTTCGAATCCGCCATTTGACTACTGGCGTAAACCACTCTTAACACAAGCAATTTAAGCTTACCACGAGTGGTTAAGGGGAATATTAGTAATGTTTATAGCATTGTTAATATTTTTTAGAGAAAAAAAATTAAATTTTACAATCGTTTGAATAAAAATAAGATGGCAGAATTTTCGATGTTTCATGTTAAATATTCCCGAAAAGAGAAAACTTTGTCTATTAAGGTAGTAATCAGTTACACACTCGTTTTAGTAAATAACTTTTAAAACCGTTTAACTTTTTCCATACCCGATCCATTAGAGCATATAAAAGACCACTGCTGAACATAGGTCTGCCTCATGGGTTGACTCATGGGGGATTTTGCCATAAGTGCCACTTTTGGCGAGGGGGTTGGTGACCGCATTTTTAATTATTTTGACTTGTTATCAGGCAGATGCTGCTGCCCATCTATTGTGTCATTTTTCCATTATTCTTTATCATACATACATAATATGTATTACTTTGCTTTAAGTTGGTTTTTCTGAAAAGCTAGTATATTGTCTGCTCCTGCATAATTCAAAAGAAAGGTGATTTAATAATGCCTTTAATATCGTCTTGTCACTTTTCTTGCAGAACGTTCCTATAAGGCTTCCGTCTTATGCCTTTGTAGTTCCCCTATAGTATATACAAGTACAGTAGTACCCAATAAACAAGTAAAGTTAAAATTTATTATATCTAAAATAGCATAGAGTTTTCAAAGCTCCGTCGTAATTTTAATTTTACATACATCTTTTCCATTTTGAGGATGACCGATGGCTGCTTTTGATTATAAAGACAGTTGTCCTCCAGCACGTTAGAGTTGCATGTTGGATTAATTTATGGCCTTTACAAGACGTATACAACACTGAATAGCCTTATGACAATTAACAAACTTTTAATACTTTAATTTACTTTTAATTTCAAATATAAGATTATTCGCGTGTGTAGCTTGTAATAACTATGGCAGTTTACTTAAATTACATATGTCAAGTTTCAACTTTAAATATTAGTAACTTTCTTAAAATTACATTTAACGATAATGTAATTTAATAACAGATTGGAACTTGGTACGATTACAAAGGGTTAGTTCCTATCGTCGCAAAGCCAGCAATCAAAATTCCCGGGCACTACGATCGAAACAAGACATACATTGTGTCGACCATTGAAGAAGCGCCTTATATTATGCGATCCGACCCAGAGCTTATGGCCAATTACCCCTACCGGGGCTTTTGCGTCGATCTCGCCGAATTGCTGCTGGAAAAGATGGAAATGAAATGTAAGTCATTAAAGTATATAGTATTACTAAAATAAATGCAACTAACGATTATGAGGTCCTGGGTTCGAATCCCGGGTCGGGAGAAAACATTATTTATTGAGTTTTTCCGTCAAAAAATTCTCAATAGCTGCCCTGAGTCAGGAAGTTGGCGGTATATCACCCCCGTGCTTCGAAAAGCACGTAAAGCCGTTGGTCCTGCGCCTGATTTCTCTCCGGTCGTGTCGTTTTACCATCCTATCGGAATATGAGAGTGATGGAATAGAGAGTGCACCTGTGCTTGCGCATACACTTGGGCAGTATAATCCTATCCTGCGCCAATGGCTAGTCTCAGTTGAGGCTGACCGCCGTGATCGAAATTCGGTCTGTAGAACATTACTATTATTACTAAAATAAAAAAGAAACAACTAGAATTATTAAAGAGACCTACTCCCAAGTAACGGCGCTAAGAATGGCTCCTGACCGGCCATACTTAGCCTTTTGCGAAAAAAGGAACAGTCCTCTTGTCTTCAGCGGTAACGACCAGTCGTGTATACACGGTTTTGTCTCTCTCACTAATATCAGTTAGACACCGTTCTAATTATTCGTATTAACCCACGTAATTATAATTATAAAATTGTCTGTCAGGTAAAAATTACAATTATTCATACGTCAGCTACTTACTCGTAGGCTGCGAATTTTCTTTTGTTTTAATTTAATATTTATATTAATGAAGTTAATTTTTGAAATGGTTTACAGATGAATTGCGATTGGTTAGAGATGGTAAATACGGCAACGAAAATCCTAAAGTTATTGGCGGCTGGGACGGCATGATCGGAGAACTTTTAAGGAAGGTACGTGCCCGCTCGTATTTATCTAATTTCGTTGAGTGTTTTCAATGGAGCACAAAACGCTCTATGTACACATCCTAACCTTATTCTTTTGTATTAGGGTTACCGAAGACAAAATAGACCTTTGGAGGGATTTGAAGAATATAATTTACTTCATTTATTATCTAACATTATTTAAATCAACTCTGGGATTTAGAATTCAATTGATATAAATGTACGTACATATAACGTCAATGTTCATATTAAGACATATGTATATTACTAGGCAATTATTACTTATTAATAAAAAAAATTGTTAGTGATATTTTGCTTGATTTATTGCAAATTTTAAGTAGTAATACTTATATTAAAACACAACTTTATTAAAAACATCTTTGACTTGTTTCAATTTAAAGAGATTATTGATCAAAACCACAACTGTAACTCTCTTACAATTCACGCAACATACTTAAACCTTTGATATAAATTCTAATGTTATTGTAATAACTTGACTTTAAATTTTAGGACTAGGAATTTTCTTTCTTAAAGTAGCATCCTAACATTATTAAATCTTTTTTGTCTCCCACTCAATAACCCACTCACAAATAAGAAAAGACCTGGGGCTAGCTGCGGCACATGTTTTATATTTCTTTAAAAACCTGTGTGACTAAACTATCATGTATCATAAATATCATATTTTATTAGATGTAATAGAAAATTAAATGGCATTATTCGTGATAACTAATTAGAAAATAATTGTTTAAATTTAGTTGTCTAAATTAATGTAAGCAGTTCAGTTGCAAATGTGAGACGCTACCCACTGTACCACGATAATATCCGACATCTTAAAGGTCTTCCGACCGTTAGTGATGTGTTATTGGGATTCTCAAATTTTAAATAAAACAAAATTGGATTAAATATTAGTGAAAGACGTTAGAATTTGACGTCGAAATGACACAAGCCCTGTTCTAACTCTCGACCAAAGTAAGCGTCTGATGATAGTTTACGAGGTTGATACTAGGGTTGACTGGTAGGGAATGCTATAAGGTGAAAGGTGTTTGAATATTAGTCCACAACCTCCCACCACAACATTCAACAAGACATATTACGTTTATGAAATAAAAATAAAATTATTTTTTTCTTTTTATTTGTTTATAGTATAGGGGTGACAAATGAGTACACAGTCCATCAGGTAATAAGTGTATGCTGTGGCCTATAGACATCTACATCTATCAAAATGCAGATGCATGGACCCGTGAGGATTAAGATGGAATGCCTCGTTTCCAGTAAAAGAGTCTCCGGTTTACGACACTCACTAAACGAAACACAGTAGTGTTTAAGCTCCAATAATACAATGGTATTTTGTAAGAGCGTGATCTCCTGACCCGGTCGAGTCGACTCAATCGTGTTACAACTTTACTACTAATGTAGCTGTGGCATGGCTTTACTACGTAAAAATTATTTCTATTAATTTATTAGTTATAATTATTTATTTATATTTTAATATTTTATTTATAAATATTTATTATACAATGATATAATATATTTTTCGTACAGAAACAGAAACAATAACTTTTTTATTCAATGTAGATTATAAATAATGCTTATTCAAAGTCACTTGTTTAATTTACCACTGATTCGGAAAAAAACCTCTATCATGGGAAGAACAAGCAAGAAACCAAGCGAGACCTTTAAAAAAACAGGTTATAATCATGTATGTTACAATTAACAACACAAACCAAATTAGAAATAGCTTGGTAGCGATCACTTTTCCCAGGGATTGTTATCATACATATTTTCCTTAAAATTTTAATAACCCATTTTATACAAACTTTGTTTAACTTTGTGCGTGTCAAATTTTGTATATTTTCTGGGATTTTGTTGCCAACGAGTATACATCGCCCCAAGGATGAATTACTGACTCCGAGAAGTTGGGTAACTGGTACTACTAGCTTTTGTCTGTTCCTAGTATTTACAGAACGAATATCACTTATTTGTGTGAAACTACTTTTATTTTTGTGTACCTAAATTATATTTTCATAAATGTATTGAGAGGCCAAAGTTAATAGATTTTAAGTTTTAAACCATAGGTTGCTCTTATGGCCCTCTTCTGTAAAACGAATATAATTTCAGTATCAGTCGCGATTCTCATAGCAAAATAGCGTACGAAATTATACGATATTTCAAAGCTAAGTTTGCTTTCTAGTTTTGATATATTGGGGGGCCTTATTGAAGCTTTACATCTAGTATGATTCCAAGAAAAATGATGGTATCGACAAGACTCAGCTTCTCCCCATTTAAAATTACATTAGTATTAAGATGTTTGACTTTCGGATATATGAATTTCTTACATTTAGCTTTAGTGTCATTTAAATGCTAAATAGCAACATTACACCAATCAACTAATTTAGATATCGCATTATGTACTACGTCATAATTTAGTAACTGTCGCATTTATTTGAAAATAAATAATGTAGAAGAAGATAAAAAATCAAGGAAGTATCATCAGCAAACAATACTATATCATGGTTATCCCCTACTATATAAGTTAAGTCTTTAATATATACAAGAAACAGGAAGCGACCGAGAATTGAGCCCTGAGGCACTCCCTTTGTATTATCGACCCGCAAGAACTCATACTATTAATGACAATTTTTCGTATTCTGTTACTTAAATATGAAATAATTAATTTAAAAGCATCACTTCTTACACCCTAGTGTTAAAGTTGCCTGATTAATGTTTAATGGTGAACACAATCGAAAGCATGGGATAGGTTACAAAATATATCCAAAGCATCCTGTGAATTCTCCCATCTAATCCCTATCCTTGACTTAGCAATACTTAAGTATTCGTTAGTTACATTAACTTCTAAACCTTGCTACGTCATTGGCTCTACCAGTCATTTATTTTTATTTTTTGCTGTTGCTCAATTAGGAAGCAGACCTGGTGATTGCTCCGCTGACTGTCACTTTAGAACGGGAGGCTATCGTTGACTTCAGCAAGCCATTTTTGTCATTTGATGTTAAACCTGAAAAAAAGGATGCTGCAGCCGTGATAACTATTTTCAGTTTTCTTCGTCCATTATCTAAGGAGATATGGGTAAGAAATTTTTTACCAATCTATCATATATTTTTTGTAGAAGTAAGCTAGTTATTGTTCTAGGGTATATTTATTTTCTTTGCTGTTAAAAAGACAATAACCATTTAACCTGGAATACAATAATAATATAAGTTCTAGCATTTACTTTATCCTTTATAAATTTTGCACTTGAACGTATAATGTTAATTCTTATGGTCACAAATGATAATAAAAGTTTAAAATTGTAGTATATAGACCAACACCTAGGCCATTAGTAGTTATATAAAATAATATTACATCAATTTGTAGTCAATGCCGCCGCTTCAAATTATGCAATAACCATTTTGCACATGGTATTTTTTAAATCGCGGTGATTTCCCTGAAAATCTGAATAAAAGCTTTTTGTTAAAGTTCACAATTTTAAAGTGGTTGCGGTTTCATAAATCTAATAGTGAAAACATTCTTTTAGTGAGATATAGATATATCAAGGACCATTTAGGTCAATGGGTAATTGATGTCCTGATTACACTACACTACACTACAATTTTAAACGGGTTTCAACGCGTAACATTACATGAAAATGCAGTATATTTATTAAAAAATTATATAAAGTCTCAGATCTGTCACTTATTATTATATTTATAATAATGTACAATATTTCATTTCCAGATTTGTTTATTATTCAGTATTTTTGCTGTTAGCATAGTACTATTCTTAGTATCGAGGTTCTCACCTCAAGAATGGCGCGTGCTCTCTTTTACTGATACTCAAACATCCGAACACAACGAAGTAGCAACAACCAAGGTATATTTTTGTGTAATTATAAGCAACATTTAATCAGCTCACATTTTTAGTCGAATATTTTTTCTTATGATCTGTTATTACGTTAAATTTTGTCCCCTAAACGATTAATAAAATTATAGAATATTATGAAATCTACATTGGATACGAGTATTATACCGTTTTTCCAATAAAGCATGTTTTCTTTATAAAAAGTCAAATCTCATCTAAAAAATTTAATTTTTATCATCGTCATCATCATCCTTACAGAAATAAATCCACTGGTGAACATAAGTAGGCCACCCCAAATATAATAGCCTAATAGCTAGGATATTTTCCATAGTTGCCATGTTTGGCAGACAGGTTGGCAATCGCACCTTTAATTTTATTTTATAGTCTTTATTAGAAAGATGGTGCTGCCTATCATCCCATGTTTTTTTTCTCTGTTGCCTCTTACGACACTCACTGGACGATATGTTGAGTGGATATTCTTACAAGATAAATTTCATATTTAGGCGTTTGCTTTTCTGATGTTTGTACATAGTACTATTAAATAGTCATTTATAAATATAAGGAAATGAAATTAAACGTATTAATACGTATAATCATTCATTTCTTGCAGACAACAATCGTGAATGAATTTAGCTTTTGGAATTCGGTATGGTTTTCAATCGGTTCTTTTATGCAACAAGGCAGTGACATTAATCCGAGGTAAGTGAATATTTTATAGTAATTATACACAATATTAAAAAAAAGAAACTATAATATAGAAAAACTAACATTAAAAATTTAAATAGTCAAAAAGTTCTGCTCCTCGTGGTATAGTGCCAATAACGCTGGCTGCGTTTCCTCGCTGAATGGCTATACTTAGCCTTTGAGCGAGGAAAGAACCAGCCGACCAGCCGTGGATACAGTTCCTTTAGGAACTTCACTGCAAGTGGACCCCACGGACCGATAGTCTCTACAGCAAATGACACAAATATATAGTCATTTCTCAAATACTCTTATTTGCGCCATTTACTAAATTCGGCTGCCTCTGATGCCGCCCCGGCTCTAAAAGAGATACCCTTGAGATGAGAGGCCACCAAAGTGTCAACGCAAGTAGCATATCTCCCAAGGGACCAAAGTCATACCGTCGGGTCTCTTGCCATCGTCTCTAAATATCCCGCAAGGGTCTAAAACGGAGGGGATATTTATGGAGACAAGAGCCCTTTGGATGACTTCGTTTAAAGAACCGTGACGGGAAAACCTACCTGCACTTTTCTTGCATGAAAGTCCGTGGAGCCCAAATTCATCGAAGCTGCTACCACAGGGGCACTGATGTGGTTGACAAATTGCCGCTCCAAGCCGGATTCCTACGGCGATGCGCAAGATCTCCTCATCAAGTAATGTACCGAGATTACTTGATGGTAGAGCGTGTAACCAGTGACTAGATTACTTCGTCGAAACTGCTAGAAGGCGAGCCTTATTATGCACATACATATTTTACTTCTTAAACTAAAGACATGTGACAAAAAAATAAAAAGCTATAATTTTAATAAATTGTGTTTATCTACGTATATTTCAGATCTGTATCTGGACGTATTGTTGGGTGCGTTTGGTGGTTTTTCACTTTTATTGTGATATCATCGTATACGGCCAACCTTGCTTCATATTTAACTTTGAAGCGTATATCTGAACCAATCCAATATTATAGTAAAGTGACTGCATGCCCCGAGGTAAATAGCTAAAAAGTTTCATATATTATTGTATATAATATAATGTTAAAATCTATTTTTCTGTTTAAAGCCTAGACAGCAAAATATCTGGAAGTTTTTAATTATTGTCCTATGTTATTGAAATCTTCGTACATAAAGAAGAAAACAATATTATTTAAAATTCAGAAATAAATTATATGAATAATTATTTTATTTCATTTTTGATACAAAAGTTTCATAAATAATTGTTTTAGGATGCTATATCCGGTCAATTTTTTGAAGTAACTCAGGAAAATGCCGCAGATGAACAAGGTTGGCTCTCTTTTGTATTAGACCACTCAGCCGGTAACCCAGAAGTAAAAATGAATGAAAACACATGTGAAATGCTAGTCACAATCACTAAATCAGGAGTGAAAGACTTTGCAGTGGCATTTCCAAAAGGGTCGAAATTAAGGTAACTTTATTATCAATTAATTTTACGCAATTGCGAATATTGAGGACGCGAATGTATTTTATTTTTATAAAATAACATTTAGTATATGTTCGCTGTGCGCTGTGTATATTGACATTTATAATTTAGTATAGCAGTTAGATAAATGCAAGAGTATTTTCTAGGAATGGAGTGAACTTAGCTTTGCAGTCCCTGAAAAATGAAGGTGAATTACAAAAAATTCTTAGAAAATGGTTTACCAAGTCAGAATGCGATGTAAGCGAACCGGTATGTATTTTATTATTCAAATGGACAAAGTAGTGTGCAAACCAAATACCTCTTATTTCTTTCAAAATTTTAGGGCATCCACGGCACAGAACTTACTCTGAGCCAAGTGGCTGGGCTGTTTTATGTATTAATGGCAGGTTTGGCTATAGCGCTAGCTGTGGCTTTAATTGAGTTCTTTCAACGTGGACGTGCTGAAGCCGCTCGAGCTAATATTCCACTAAAAGCTGCATTTAAGGCTAAAGCAACTTTTTTCAACGCGCTCAGAAATTAAAAATTCTGTCCAGCGCATTCCCCAACGTGATCAAGAGCGTCTTAGCTGGAATAGTGGACCTTATGTTGGCGTGAGTATTATTTTTATATAAAATAAAATAAACTGCTTTTTAATTTTTACAGTATCAGAAATTAAAAACACCAAGAAGTTATTGAATTAGAAATTATTGAATTACTTTAATTTAAAATTTTACCTTTATACTCATATGGCGTAGTTATTATGGCTTAAAGAGAAAGGCTAAAGTAGCGATTTTATCCCAGGGTTACTTTATTCGTATAAATTCTTCTAATAATAATTATTATTTTACTGTGTTTTCATTCAGTCCATTTATTATAGCTTTTAAAAGTCCATTGCAGAACATAGGCCTCCCCTATAAAGCCTCATCGTGGTAATTTGCCATAGTTTCCAAACTTTGCAGGTGCGTTCGTAACCACAGTTTTTTATTACTTTGAGTTTTTATCAGAAGGATAGTTCTGCTGAACTGAAACAGAATTCTTTTGAAAAACTTTTCTAGTATTTTGTTAGTTAAATTAATTACTGAATCCATGGAGTCGAGTAACTGGTATCACAAGCTTGTGTTTGTTCCCAGTGTTTAAATTATGATAATCTGTTTTCGTGTTAAACCTACTTACGCCATTAGGTGCAAACTACCTACATTAAATTTTTTCAAATATATATATTTTTGCTTACTTTTTTTCTCGGTACTATTTATAGCTTAAGTTATAATATAATCTTTACTAAAATAAGCTTTATCAATGCTTATAGCACAACTATTGTATCACTTTCAAAAAAAATGTTTTATTATATACCAGTACTACACTCCGGCACACCAGATCGGACAAGAGGAGACGGCGCTGCAAGCCAGTTTTACGCAAGTGTGATCCGCAGCCAGGGACGTGGGCACTGTACGCCGTGCGTCCCACTCCAGGCAGATGTCTAGCTCCGTAGATCTTTACCAACTGTAAATCTGATTTGTACTGGATACATCATAAGTAAGTTAGCTTAAAATTATCAAGCAATTAATAGCTAACTTACTTTTTAGGCTTTTACAGAAATATTCTTCAGCATGCTTAATCATAATTTTTTGAGGAACGATCCATGTCTACCAAAATTTCCGCCTAAGAAACCATTTGATTACTCGTATTTTTGGTCAAAAGAAATATTTCTATTCAGTTGCCTATTACTATTGTTGTGATATAATAAAATAAATTAAAATAAGATCATGTTTACACATTCAACGTAAGATTATAAATGAACCAAATGTCTTTAAAAATATAGTCTGAACTCCAATAGATGTTCTTGACGCTAATGATGCTGTACTATGAATACTATGAAACACTACAAAACACTTTTGAAGTACTTTTGTGGCTAATAGTACTATAATCTTACTTATCGTCTAAGGGGCGTCTAAGGGGCCACAGCATCCACTTAAAATCCGGTGGACTGTTGGCTCGTTTATCACTCTTATTATATTGAAAAATCAATCGAATAATTATGTATGTAACCTTTGGTAATCGCGTTATTAAGTTTAGACGTTTTTTTTGGTTCAAAATAAGCTATTTAATTGATCTTATAGTAGAATAAATATTATCAGGGTCGTGTATAAAATTACGAGTATAGAAAAAAAAATAAAAATGAACCTTTTTTCAATTAGTATATGTAAATGAATGTTCGGTAACGTAGATACATTTACATGTTAATTAGCCTAAGCTTTGAAAGTTTCTGATTTAATTTACCACCGTTCACAGTCATTATGAAATTCGAATTACGATTATTTTTAATTTTTGTAATTCAAATATATCATTATATAACGTAATAAAGTATTACTAGATTAAACTCAAAGTTACTTACATTGACTAAAAATTCATTGTCTGATTACAGACAAAATTAAATTTGTGCAAACTGGTTAACTGTTCTCCAATAATTTAGTGTCGATGACAGCTTTCATAAAATGTTTTAGCTTTCAGAGCATTGCACTGATTTTAAATTCTATGACTGAATCAATTAATTTAAGTGCAGCTGTCAAACTGTTATTATATCGTATAGAAGTCGACTACGTTCACTACCGGGTAATTATGTTCTGTGACGTTCACATTTTAAGTTACACAAATCAGAGAATTAAAAAAATAATTAAAATGACTTCTTACACTTTAAATATATTTTTATTATGTCCTTACAAATTCTAATAAGAGTTATTTACAATCAGCTTTAGAAATTACGTAATTTTTTTGAATAGTTTGAAACATAATTAATTATTATGAAAATGTGAACGATATTCATTTTAAACACAAATTAGTCCATGAGTTAAAATAAAAATTACAACCATTTTTTATTTAACATTAAAACTGTCATCGCATCATCCTTCATATAAAATTATGAACGTAATTATACAAACTATATTACGTAGGATACAAAAACCCAATTTTGTTATAAGAACGAAGAGTTAAAAAATACTTGTACTTGTATTTTTCATAAATATAGCATAAAATTATTATACTGTCTCTATGATACGCGTAGTTTCTATGTTACATAATGAATCATTCAGTAAATTCTCGCGAGCCTAATTAAAAAAAATTGAAATAGTTATTTATTACGGAATTAATGCCAAAGGCAAAAATGTAAGTGAATCATATCAATAAAATTAAAAACATCTTGGTTTATTACAAATATGAGGTACTTTTATGGTTTGCAATCTAACTGACTTTTTTCTACTGAGATCTTTACCTGCTTGTATTACTTAAGCTGCCGTCCTATATAGCGTTCTATTGTGATTTATTAAATAAATTAATTTGATTGATAAAATAAAAATAAACTATTATTTATGTTACTGTGTTCAATTATTATTAAATAATTTCATTAAATTTATAAACTGAATCCTTATCAAATATGTCAACATAAAAAGTCGAATTCTTAAAAAACAAACTGCCAAATATATATTAATACTTGGGTGGTTTTAAAAATGAACGGGGTTAATAAAATTTTGTAATAAATAACGTAAGATGTACGGTTCGATCCGTCCATCACAGAAAGGCTGAATTTACTTTCGTTATATCAAATACGATCCGAAACACTAATTAAAAAAATATTGAAAAGTCTTATCAAAAGTGTCGCTATGAGAATCCAGCACCACCCAGCTAGCAGAAGTTTTAAACTTCTGTTTTTACTTTATTATATTATATGACACTTCAACATAAGTACATAGAAAAAATAATTATCGAGCATGAAATTTATAACTCAAAAATAGGTGTCAAGACACACCTTGTAAGTATATGAATTATTTTGTTAACCTATAAAATCACGTAAATTAGAATCGAAATTTAAAAATTTGTGAAAATTCAAAAAATGTTCGTCATGTATAATCCTGGCAATTTTTATACAAGGGACGACACGTCTAATTTTTATTCCACTACTAATATAATTGTTATTCACCTTTAAAACTACTCCTGCTTTATGTAACATTATATTTGTTGTTGTTATTTATTATACGTTGTTTGTAAAACAAAGAGTAAATAAAACTTTTTAGGTTTGATATTATAACATTAGAATATTGAATATACGATTATTAAGTTTAATGTTGTTCTTCAAATGACTGATTTACATAATCGTTTCGTTGAGTATATATCTAGATTTAAGACTACATTTTCTATGTTACCTACCTATAGGTGTGATAACGTATAACTTATAACCGATGTTTAAAAAGGAGTAGAAATAAATTTATGATTAATAAAATTAAATGTAATGAATATTGCACTAATTATAATTACCAAATTCGATCGAACTGATGTTCAGATCTATATCGTGAATTAGTCTTAAAAAACAATTATACTTTATAATGCATGTGTTTAATGCAACTTATTTATATATAGCATTAAGACAAAAGTATCCCCCTATGTCAAGATAATGTAAAATAAATGTTTTTATAATAAATATATACAAAAATAAAGCGAATGTATTTTAATTCCTTTAAAATTATATGTGTTTAAGTCGCATAATTACTGACGACTTTTCCTTGCTTAATCCACCTGTATCTAAACCTTCGGAGTACACATAAATAATACATAACTATTTAATTATACATATTATTTGTTGTTTCTATCACCATTCTACTGCTGAACATAGTTCTCACAGAAGAACTGCAACTTATCATGATCCTTATATATCTACATATATCTCCTTTATGTCAAGTGTATGAATTATCTCGTTGCTTAAACCATTCATGAATGGTCTAAATCTGGTTGTCATTCCAACTACTCTTTAATATAATCATCTGAATGTATAGAAATATTACCGAAAATGAAACTCAAAGTAATTTTATTTCTATATTTTATACCTCTATACAATGATTAATTATTAGTAAGATAGAACCATTTTTGATAAAATGGAATCATTCAACGTTTTTGAAATTATTCTATACCGCAAACTTTTTAAGTCATTTATATGAAAACAGAGAGCAAAACGCGCCGAGTGTCAGCGAGATTTTGTCCCAAGATGTCATAAATCAGTTGGCGGCGGATGGTGTTGACCCATACAATTATTGCAATGTTCCTAAGAATTATTATATCCCTCACTCTTGGGTCTCGTTCTTAAGAAATAATAAATAATTCTTTAGAATCCAACCGTGGTCAACCGCTTTGAAACTTTAACCTAAATATTCTACAATAAATATTCTGATGCCCCCAATACGCATTCTTAACATGAACAAAATGTTATGCTTTGCTTCGGCGTTACTTTAGAATTTTTATATACAGGGTGTCCGGTAATGAATGGATAACCTTGAAATGTCTTATAGTACAACTTATGGCCGTCCTGAAAAAAATACGAAAAATAATATATCACAAGTAGTACCTTTGATATATTTTTTTTTAAAGAAAAGTCGATTCTTTTCTATCTTATTTTACTGTCTTGAACACTATGACCAAAAATGAATGATTTCTATTGATTTTTTATTATATTATTATTATACACTAACTGTGCTTATAGGTAAAATGTAAACAATATGA